AATGGCCCAAGTCGTCACAAGGGGAAAGAGAGACGGCGTTGGGAAAAATCATGAGCCTCGAAAGAGAACAAACACGTCAGGAGGCAGAGAAGACCAAAGTACTGGTATGGACTCGCAAACACACAAACACATGCATTTCATCAGGTAAACAAATCACTCAATTACCTTCTACTGCACCTGCGTGTGAGTGCGTGTGTGTAACTCCTAATTTTAGCTCAAATACAAAAGAAATAACAGTGTGTATTGCTTGTAATAAAAAGCCCATATGTGAATATTTTCAAAATAACGACATTGTTGTTGACTACGTTGTTTCGGGACCAAATAAAAAAACTGTCTTACACTGTGAAACATTCTTTGAATATAAACAAACAATTCTCTTGGCCACATGGGGACAGTGGGGAAAGTGGTCAGTGTTTATTCCTTACAGCAAGAAGCCAGGCAATTCACCTGTTTCTGATTGTTGTCATTCAGATCTACACAGAGAGCAGACCAGGACAAAATGTCATTGCAGTGACACCATAATCAGAAATCATCAGAAAATTAAATTTAAAAAAGTGAACAAAAGAGTTAGGAAATAGCATTCTAAATAGATAATTGTGGCTGTGAAAATGCTCATACTATATGTAATGATTCTGTAGTAGCTCTTTGTATTATTCATTACACTTGATGTAGCCCTCAGTTTCAAAAAGGTTGGTGATCCCTGTACTATATTGTACTGCAGTACGCTTGCCTGAATGTGACAAACTTGTGGTTAATTAAGAATATCTCCGTATTTGGATCTGTGATGGACTGGTCAACTGACCAGGTGCAGACAGACCACCATTGTCCGCAGTCAGCTTGAGACATTTGTGTTTTAACCTCGACATGTCCTTGTTTTTGGAGCTTTTAAATCTAATGGAGATCCCCACTCTTTTGTCCACTGTCTGGGAATTAATGTGTAAAAGTGTCAGTGTGTAACTGGACTAAGGTGTGTCAGTGTTAAAGGTTTTAATGTAACAGCAGTTTTACCAACCTCCTCTTTAATGGTGTAATTACTGTGCCACGTCACTCAGGTGCTGTCCATGTGTAATTATACAGCACAACCTCAAGTTCTGGTCAGCAGTCATTTGACTAAACACTGATCTTAAATGATGTGCGGTCGATAAATAAAAACCCTTGTGAATGCAGAACGGTGCATTTGAAAAAGAGTCTGAGATTTGAAGTGAGTCAGAGGAAAACTGTCTGATGCCGTTTCTCCCTGGTTCAATCACATATCAGAACATTTCGCACAGACACAATTTGGCTCTTTGGGATTGCATCCCCCCATCCCCGATCACCCTTACAAGGCTGCTCTTCATCCACTCTTCCTGCTTAATATTTTCTTCCTGTCTCTCTCTTTGCCTTCCATCATCTTTTTGCCTTCTCCTGTCCTCCCTGCGGTTCTCCTCTGTTTTTCATCCCCAGCCCATCCCTCTCATCTTCCTGCTCTGGAGACAGTATTATCAGCACTGTGCAAGTGGTAAATTGCAGCCAGAGATTTTCCTAAGGCTGGAGATTGGACTTGTGTGAGGTTAGAAAGAGGGAGAATTTGTTTTTTATTCACCATTCTGTTTCACGTGACTCACCCCCTGCTCTTCCATCTTCCTCCTCCCATGTTTAGACACGTTCTAGCTCCTGTGTTATCTCCACTCTAACACACTCCCAACTCCTAATATAAAGATGGTGGTGGAACGTCGTGAGCGGAATGACCAGTCAAGCAGGACTGTAGCTCCTCATGCCTTGGGGCTTCTTGTAATTATTTTTTCCTGTGCTTGGAATTCATACTTATGCACAGGCACATTCAGTTTGGACACATTTACTCAGAGCCTGGACTGGAGATTGGATGGAGAGTGACTTTGTGAATTTAATGAGAAGGAAGAAGGAGTCTTGTTGTGAACATGTAGCAGAAATTACTTGGATTTTGAAGATCACAGTAGGGTGAAAACGAGGTGCAAAGTTTTGCAATGTCTGTAGAATAAAGGGGTGAGGAGATGAAGCGCTTCCTGCTCTGTGTGCGTCACATGTTAGAGCAGTTTTTTAAACTTTTTTCTGCAAGGCCCCCTTTAATAATTCAAAACAACTCTCTTGGTTAGTGATGACTTGATACAACGTTTTATGTCTGAAACCAATACTGCAACTTGAGAGTATCTGATACTGATATCAATCTGATACCTTCCTTTTCTCTCCCAGCATGCCACGGGCTGCTGTTGCTGGTCCCTGTTTGCATCATTTCTTGCAAAGTTAAGTTGAGCATTTATCTTAGATATTTGATTGTAGGGGCTATAGTATTTTTTTTATTATTTTTATTTTTTATTGTATAGAGCGGTCACTTAAATTAACACCACACAAATTTATATTCTCACTGAAAATTAGCAAATCAAATTCTTCCCTCTGTGGTGCATAAAACCTACATTTTCTTGCTGGCCTGACAGTCATGTGTGCATCCTTTACCATCCTTCCCTACCTTCACCGACCATTTGTTCTTTCCCTGCATGATTTTGTCATCCCTTTAATCCGCTTTCATCAGTCAGCTGTGGAGACTTGAACACTGCTGTGCTCGTCCCTTAGAAAATCATCTGTTGATTAGAACCAAAATGAAGAGAAGGTAGAAGGGTAATAAAAGGGAGGACAAGGGTCAAAATAATGGACAAAAAGAGGACCCCCCCCTCCTTCTATATCTATTAATTGTCCTTTGATATCTGAAAGGCAAAAAAAGGTTAGGAGTCATATTAGCATATGCAAATGATCTCTTCTTCTCTCTCTCCTCCCCCCCTCCCCCCTCTGTCTCTCTCAGTCTCTGACCCCCATTTAAACAATTACAAAACCTATTTTATTGGCTGACCTTTGACCCCTGTGATGGAGCTTTATCTCGTTCTAAATGCCCCTCAGTCTTAATGGAACGTTTGATCACAGCTGTGAATCGTGAGGATAAGCTGCATCTCACAACACACTGGACACCATTTCAATTTTTATGTCTCTTTTTTCTTTTTACAGATATTGTGTCTAAACTTGTGTTCAGAAAGGGTGTTTCACCTTCTAAAAAAACAAATAAAATAAAAATTAGCCAATTACTTTAATAATACATCCGAATATTTATGTTTTGTCCAGCAGGACAGGACTCTCAAGGAGTCTGCCAAAAAATCAAAAACACTTTGGAAAATAGGAATTCTAATATGTTCCCAATAAAAGACTATTGACCCTTCAACAATTACACTACTGTAAATGTATTTATAAAGTACAACAAAAGATACAAACCTATCATGGGAAGCAGAACTTTTTGCTGAATATTTAAAAAATTTGAACCAAATAGTATTCCTCCCTGAGGTGATGTGGTTTGACAGCTGTCTGACAGCTACTCCCCAGGGATGAAACCTCCAGGTTGGAAATTTTAGGTTGGTGAATTCTGCTTAGCCACTTGCTCTTTATTTTTTAAAGTAGGTGAAACCTGTATGTATTTGAAATATTCTGCTAAACAGCAGTATGAAGAGTCCAGAAACTTTGTTTGTTAGAACAACAGGGTTCTCGTCATGTACGTTCAATTTGCTGTAATTACTGCCACAGAATTAGAGCAGATCTGTTTAGGTTTTAGTTATTGATGTACCCTAAATAATAAACATCCTCAAATGTTTTAACCGCTGGGCGGCGCTCGGTTTCCCATAAACAAAGTTTGAGGTTACTAGACTCTACAGTTTAACACATCAAAAGGTGTTTAGGTAAGTTTAGGTGTTAAACGCAGAAGCTATTTCTGCAGAAGTGCATGATTTCATGCAGTGTGTGTGTGTGTCCTAGTAAGGACGGTTTACATGTTTGAGAACCAAAGAATACTAAGTGTAACTCAGTTTTGTTAAACCAGTAAATATTACTTAAACATAACACCGCAGTTGCGGATTTGTACCTCTGTAAGGTTTTGAAGTCGAGAATCAACAATTTCTTTCCAGGCGCCACTAGATGGCAGCAGATAGCTATTACATTCGGCTCTTGAAACCACTTTTGTCTTAGTTCGTTGAAGTTGCTGGCATGAACAATGCAAAGTTAAAAGTTTGAGTATAAAATTGTCTTTTTTGAAAAATGTTTTTTTACATTATTTTTATTTCATCCACTGATCTGCCTTGTCTGTCCTGACCCACCTTTCTCACATAACTGATACAGTGATAAGATAGTACAGTAATGAGAGCATTTTCTAATAACACTGAAAGTGTAAATAACAATATATAAAATAGCACTTTGTTTTGATGTCCAAATTACAAGAACTTCATCTGATAATATCATACTGTTGGAATGTTCTATTTTAAGTCCAAATATAAGTTACCGAAAAGAAAAACAATACACCACCTCCATTGTTAAAAGCCTTATTTTTTTAAAGCCATAACTTGTGCACACCATAAAATAGAAATGTCCAATTTTATGTTTTCCACTAGATTGCTTGTCAGTGATTGTAGATTGACATTGCTCCTTCTACATTTACATTTTTATGCATAATAGCAGGCGCTAAATCCCAATTGACTTACCAGAATAAACAATCAAGCTACAAAGAGGAACTCTTAAAAATAGACTGCTGTTTAATAAAGTGGGACTTCTTTACAATGGTGGAGACAAGTGCAGCATGAGAAGGGAAGTACAGGACAGTGTTAGGGCATGAGGCGCTCTCTGAATCACTGGGTTATCCAGAGCTTTTTAAAAATAGGCAGGGATGCCCCTGTTCCGGTGGTGCTCCGTAGCTCATTCCATCAGCGTGGAACAATCCATGAGAAGAGCCTGGATTGTCTTGTGTTTGGACTGCCAGGGGACATTCCCCAGTCGTGGGGTAACATAAGCCTTTATCAGGGAGCTTAAGAAGGTCTTTTAGAAGATATCTGTTTGTTTGTAGATGTCTCTTTACTGTAGCACCTTTTATGAGCTCTGTATTCTGTCCCGAGGGCTTGTAGCTCCAGGCTTACGGAGGCTGAAGGCAAAAATGTGCCTAAGTAGATGTGAGTTAGCAGGGGGGAAAAAAAGAAATCAAAAAAAGAAAAGATCCATCCGGTTTAGCTCATGGGTAAATCCATCCACCTGATTATTGTTGTAGCTTTGGATACAGTTATATGTA